ATAGATAGATAGATAGATAGATTTTATTTTGACACGTTAACTACGTCAATTAAAAACATTGATTTCCACGAAGGGCGTGTGTTCAAAAGTTATTATATATAAGTGCTGTTATGACTCTTATGGAATCAAATAAAAGAAAATAGAAATAATCTAACTGTTCCAATTGACAAAATTAACAATATAGACAACTAACAAAACATATAGATAACTCTTTACAATGAAGGATATATATATGTATGTATAAATATATTATTTAGTAACATGAGCAGCAATTTTTCTTTCAAATAGAGACTGGGACCTAATTCCTCTGATTTCTTTAGGCACTGAGTTCCATATTTTTGCCCCATTAAACATGAAACTCTTTTTCATGCTATTTGTGCGGGGCTGTGGCAAAACGAGTGTTGTTTCATTTTCACGGAGGCAGTAATGTGTATTCTCATTCTAACATTCTTGTAGGTAAAAAGGTCTGTTAGGCTTTTAGGCACAGACATATTCAAAATTTTGAACATTAATTTTGCCTTAGCTTTAGTTCATTGTACTTTTAGTGTTTCCCATCCTAACGAATTTAATGCGATTTGGGCATTAACTTCGTTACCCATGTCCATAATAATTCGAGCGCATTTATTTTGAAGCTTTTGTAATCGTTGTGATTGAGTTTCACCAAAAATGTCCCACACTTCACAACAATAAGTAAAGTATGGTTGTACAATTGCGTTAAATATAGAAACAAGTGTATCACGGTCAACAAATTCTTTTAGTTTTCTAATAACAGAAATGGCTGATGTGATTTTCTTACAGATACTCTCAGTGTTACTTTTCCAAGAGAGATGCTGATCAACTGTTACTCCTAGTGTCTTGCATTCCTTCACTTGTTTAATTGGTCTGTTTTCAATCATTATGTTTAAATTTTGAATCTGAACAGTATGCACTAGAGATCTTGATCCTATGAGCATAAATTCAGTTTTGGCAATGTTTAGACACAGTTTGTTCGCGTTTAACCACATTCTGAGGTCACTGCATTTTCAACATCATCAATTGTACAACCGGAAGCAGTGAGGTTTGTGTCATCTGCAAAAAGTCTTGGCTTTGTCCTATTTAGGCTTTCAGATAAATCATTTATGTATATTAGGAAAAATATAGGACCTAAAATGGAGCCTTGAGGAACACCACACTTAACTTTGTGTTCAGACGAGACAACACCATTTACTTGGCATTTTTGGGTGCGATCAGTAAGATATGATCTCAACAACAAATGTGCCTTATCCTTAATACCGTAAATTTGCATTTTCTCAAGTAGAATTTCGTGATCTACGGTCGTCAAATGCTTTTTAGATCTATAAAAACTACTAAGTTAAACATTTTTCGATCCATGTTAACATACCAACTATTTGTTGAATCTAAAAGGGACGTAGCGGTGGAGTGAAACTTTCGAAAGCCAAATTGGTTATCAGAGAGAATTTCGTTTTTAGTTAAATAATCATACAGCTGGTCATACAGTAATCTTTCCATGATTTTGCTTATGACTGGTAGTATCGATATTGGCCTGTAATTACCAGGAATATTACGATGACCACTTTTATAAAGAGGTAAAACTCTAGCTACTTTCCATTCATCTGGAAAGCTGCAAAGAGTAATACTTTGATTAAAAATATATGTAAGTGTAGCAGAAATAACTGGCGATGCTAATTTAAGAATTTTACTGGAAATTTTGTCAATACCACATGCTTTGTTACAAGACAGCCCTCTTAAAAGATCAAAAATTTTGTTTACCGCAATTGGTGTAAATGCAGTGAACTCGGATTCAGAACTTTTAGTATACTTTCGAAAGTCACAGCTAGATTCATCCAACTTGCTTGCCAAGTTTGGTCCAACATTTGCAAAGAATTCATTTAACCCTTCTGCAATCTCTGTAGGATTTGTTAATAAAGGAATACCGAATGGTTTTCCGTGCAGGATTGCGTGATCCATGCACGCGGGATGTTGCGAGACTTTCGGAAAGCGTGAAAATACACGAGCCGTAAGCGAGTGTATTTTTACGCTTTCCGAAAGTCTAGCAACATCCTAAGTGCATGGATCATGCTATCCTGCACAGGAAAACCATTTGGTAATTGTTTTATAAACTTACTACAGTGAAACGACGGTTAACTTGATTAAAATTACTGATGAAATGTGCAGTTCTCACAACAATCGTCAATTAACCAATTGGAGAATCGCTACTCCACGCTATTGAAAACAACAACAAATGCGAACAGAATTTGATCGCAAATTCGCGAAAATATACAGCGAAAATACAGAGATTTTTTCGATAAAATTTACGAAATTTGAAATGGAAAACCCCTAAACAGAGAGCCAAAGTAGTTATGAAAAGATTCTCGATCTGAATACTTGAAGATTGCGAAGCGTTTGAACTTTGAAGCAACTAGCGAGAGATGTTGTACTTGCCATGGTCTGATGAATTTCAACGCTACGCGTTTCTACTTGCTTGAACAGCCGTATCGATCAGAAATTTATTCATACAACTAAACCAACGTCAATGCGAGTATATTTGTAAAATTATTTTACAATGCGAGTATATTTTACAATGCGATTAATTTTACAATGCGAGTATATTTGTAAAATTATGTGCAAGAATTTCTGTTCAGAATTTCCCGTGCAGGATTGTCTGATCCTGCACGGCTGTTGACCAATCAAATTGCGTGTTTCACTGTAGTTATTTTATAATTTATATTCATTAATAATTAGTTCATTTATAATCGTGGGTTTCTTACCCTTTCCGATCAAACTATTAATAGTCTTCCAAGCCTGCTTTGGATTGCACTTTTGGTTAGCAATCTTTTCAGAATAATAGTCTGTTTTGGCTTTCCTTAATTCGGTATTTGTTTGATTTCTGGCTTTTTTATAAATGAGCCAATCAGATTCTTGTTTAGTAATAATTGCTTTTCTTTTCAATTTATCTCTTTCGGTTATGAGCATTTTAATTTTTCTTGTAAACCAAGGGACACTTATTGATTTTATTTTTTGTTTTAAAGTGGTGCATGCTTATCCAGGACCTCTAAAAAGACTTTTTTCCACATCTCCCACATAGTATTTGGATTATCTGGAAAATAATAAATATGATCCCAGGGTTGATTTTGCAAATCCTTAAGAAAATTTAATTTAGATCATTGAATTTCTTCATGTTTCTAATTTCAACAATATTTACATGACGTTTTACAGAAAAATTTATTTTTCTTATTGCGAAAATCATGCTATGATCACTAATTCCAGTATGTATTAACCCAGAGTCAGAAATTTTCTCTGGTCTATTTGTAATAAAATGATCAATAAGGGTGGATGTTGATGATGTTATGCGCGTAGCTTCATCAATCATTTGTGACAATTGACAAAGTTCATATATGGATTTGAGTTTTTTAGTTAATTGGTCTGGATTTGTCTTAAGTAAATCACAGTTTAAATCACCAAGAATGTGAATTTCTTTGTTTTCATCATCTATTTTTTTAATGAAACTTTCTAAATCGGTAAAAAATTCTGATGACGGATTTGGAGGTCTATAAGCTGTTACTACGACGAACGGCTGACTTTAAGCCTTAATGATTTCAATACAAACAGCTTCAAGATTCTTAGGCACTAGATCATGTCTAATCCGATAATTAATGGAGCTACGCAAATACATGCAAACACCACCTCCACTTCTTGATCTATCTTTTCGGATGATATCATAACCATCAGTATACATTTGATTATCTGAAATTGATGAATCAAGCCTTGTTTCATTAAATGCGATTAAATCAATGGATTTGTTTGACAATGAAAAGCTAATTTCATCATATCGTTTTGGCAAGCTAACAACATTTAAAAAGGCCATTTTAAAGCCTCTTTCATTAGGAATAGAATTAATCTCGTTGAAACAATTGCTGCTCCTGTTCTGGGTTAAATAGCAACTATCATTAATATTTATTTCTTCATTATATTGGTTACTAGCTTCAGGTGATCTGACCATTCCTTCATTCGATGGCCCAGTGCTAGCCGAAAAAAAGGCTTATTTTTGCCATGCAGCTTCTGATTATGAACAGCATTGCGGCTAATTTTAACTAACTTTAGGTAAGAACAAAATTTCTTGCCCAACAACTTGTCTCCATTTTTTTTCAAATCATGGGCGTACCTGGCGGGGGGGGGGGGCGGCAGCCCCCCAGTTTGTTGGGCAGTCGGGCAATATTCGCTGAACAGTCGGGCAGTTTTGGTTTATTAAAAAAATAAATGGGACAAATTCTGTAAATTTTGCGGTCAATTTATTGATATTTCGAAAATTTTTGTTAGGTTCCGGAAAATTTTGGTTGTCCGGAAAAATTTTTTGACCCCTAAAATGGTACACTGACATTTCTTTCGGCGACCCCCCCCCCCCATCGCCAAAAAAATTTCGGCAAAAATTTTTTCGGTACTTGTCGGGCAAAATCCGGAAAAGTCGGGGCAAATTTCTTTCCGCCTCCCTAAATTTTTCCTTCCTGTACGCCCACGGTTCAAATGGAGGTTGGATCTATTGAGATGGGATTGATCTATCTCGCTGTTATCTAAAAATGCTACTTCATACCACTTGCACAAGATGAGTAATAGGTTATTTGTTTCCTCAATTTTTTGGTTGGATAATTTACCATCAAATCTTTTTACCACACTTGACACCGCAACATCACTTGAATGGATTTTTGCCACTTGTATAAGACTTTCCATACGTTGAGCAACTTGATGTGGGCTTTCATTAACCAGGTTGTTGATTCCTGCATGGATAATTACAGCTTCATAATTCTGACTATCATCTGATCAATGTTCCTTGATCTTTTCTTCAAGATGTTGTATTCTTGCTCCACTATAAGAGTGACACTGGGTCGATTTAGTTTTGGCCGCTCTGGATATTTTTAAATTGTCAATATTCTTGACCATGGAGTCACCAATGATGAGTACTTTTTTCTGTTCTGATGGTGACTGATTATTTGGGGGACATTCACTATGGCTATCAACACTTGATGTATTTTGATCTGTTTTTCGCAATTTTTTGACAAACTTAGATGACTGTGAATTACGGTAATTTTTAATTTGCCCTTGAAAGCCACTATCTGAGCCACTGTCCGAGGTATTGACTGGTATGTCGTCATCTTCAACAGTCAATGCATCAAAATGATTAAAGGTGGAGAGTCCCTGTTGTGGAGAGTCAGGAACAGGCACTTGGTTACAATGGTTTGAAGATTTCGCTTTTATCCAGACATTCTGTTTCATATCAAATGTCTTTTGAATTAGTTCATTGTCAAGCTTCACCTGCTCTAGGGTCACTTTCTTATTATCAAGTTCACTCTCCAATTTCCTGTTTTTGTTAATAAGCATGTGGATTATGCCATCTTGGCCTTCGATTAATTGGTATTTATTTCTCTCAATTTCGAGTTCGCTTTGCTTAGTTCCAACTACGCTATAAAGCGACAATAATGAATCTAGCTTCAGTTTTATTTCATCCAATATTTGTGTTTTGGCAATTATTGCAATTCGATGACATGTCGGATTGATTTACAGACTCGTCGTTGGCATTTTCAAATTCTACCGCAACATATTCGTTATCCTCGCCGCTATACTCGTCAGCATGTTTCCTAAGCATTTCAGCTACATACAACCCTTCGTTGTCAGTTACAATGACAATTTTCTTCTTGGTAGTACCATACCATTTGAACCGCGAAGGTAGGATTTGTGAACAATTTCACTTCGCCGCCGGGTGACGACCATTTCCCGTTTGATAGCTGAAGGTCATCCTGAACAAATTCCTTTAATTCATCTAAATTTCCATCCCAGACAAATTCGTTGCAGTTAAAATGTAACCTTGGGGTTACTAGAGATTTTTGTGTGTTTACTTCGCTGGTAGAATGAGAAAAGCTTTGTATAATTTGTGAATTTGAAGAGCTAGACAAATCAAGTACTACCGCCATATTGATATATGATACCAATATGATACAAATGTAACTCGGTGGGCAAGAGAAAAACGCTTCAGCTGCTGTCTCAAGCTGGTCGTCTAATCTCCAATGAAACATGAATAGTTCAGTATACATTGTAGTTCGTGCTTCTCAGTGTTCTGATGTAGTTCCATCAATGAATAGACAAACGTAGAATCTAAATCTTTTTCCAGTTGCTGTAAATATTCGAGTAAATCTCTGTCAACCGCCAGTTTTAGTACCCTCATTGCTTCAGTGAATTCATTCCAAACCATACGCTTACCATTCACTCGTTCGATCGCTTGTAAACAATACATTTGCCATCGTTCGTTTTCGTTCATCATGAGGCAGTCATGTTGTCTTTGACTAGGTTGACCGACTTGACAACCATTAAAGGATTCCACACAAAGTCTTTCAACTTCTTGTGCGACTGCATTCGCATATATTCCTTCAAATAAATTGTAAGACGCGGCTTTACCGTGTAGACACTCCATGACTGATGTAGAACTAAGCGTTGTCAAATGCAGAACTACGCTCACCACAAGACGCTCGTCGATTTTATACAGACACTCGTTAAATCAAACAACCAATCATAGTAAGCCAACATTAATCCCTCTATTGTATCACACACGTGGATGGACGCTAAAAAATACCTTGTCAGCAAGTTTTTACCGATTTCGCCCGAACATGTCCGCGTGACGGGATTGCATATAATTATAACGTATGTTAATTAATTAACTTGCGCACCCTTACGCACCCTCACTCCACCACACTCCACCACACTCTTCCTCACTCCTCCTCATTTTATGAATATTAATTACCTCACCCTCACTCACCCTCACAGTATGAATATTAATTAGCGCACCCTCAGCACCCTTACTCCACCTCACTCCACCACACTCCACCACACTCCTCCTCACTCCTCCTCATTGTATGAATATTAATTACTTCACCCTCACTCACCCTCACAGTATGAATATTGGACATTATTATATTATTCAGAGATTATTTGATTACATGATTGCAATATTTTTAGAGAATAATTAATAATAGTTATAAATGAAATAAACCATCAATGCTGTAGCAACTAAACATTGTAATATTTAAATATAATTATATGGTCTTATAAACAAAGCTGAGGAAGAAATTTTAGCCGATGTGCGATGTGAGTCTGACGAAAATAATACAGTTTAATTACTGAGGTGTATAGCTGTCATATATACAGGGTTTTCAGTTTTGTGTGAGGCTCTGGCTAATGGCGATGAAGCTATGGCGATAGATGTTATTTCTACCGATATAATTTACAAATTTAGGCGAGTACACATAATAGAGACGTGACTAAACGTAAAAGCTCTGGCGAATTTGGGTGGGGTTGAATGAAAAAGTCTGGCGAAATTCGCCGTTCGCCGGCCTAAACTGAAAACCCTGTATATATTTGAGACAGATCGACGGAATGCATCGAGGTCCTATAATCGACATCATTATTTACATACCTGATACCTACACTGTCAATTCCCACAAACTATAAGATAACCATAAGTATATGGCAGGATTGGCAGCGTCTGTTATAGAGATTATATTGCCATTGATTTTCAACCATTCCAGACATAATGTCTGGAATGGTTGAAAATCAATGGCAATATAATCTCTATAACAGACGCTGCGAATCCTGCCATATACTTATGGTTATCTTATAGTTTGTGGAAATTGACAGTGTAGGTATCAGGTATGTAAATAATGATGTCGATTTGCCATAAACTGCCATGTAAGGCACTGTTCTGCTTGGTTTAAATTTAGCACTTTGCTCCGGAAACAAGTGAGAGTATTCGCTGCCTCGCTGATTGTGAAATTGGGCGATTGGGTCACACTTCTAAAGACCTAAACACTCTCAAATGCCTTTCAAAACCACAAGTACAAAAATATCAAATATCACCTCTGGAATGTTGTTGCCATGGTTTTACCGCTGACCTCTAGATACTATGTGTACAGGCGTAAAATCAACAACGTCAGTTATATCGAGAGGAAGGTTGTGCTGCCTACTATGAACAAGTTATCAATAATTTTGTTGCAAGTTTGTTGACAAATTGTTCGTAGTGGGCAGTACGCCTGTCAATATCAACCGGGAAACAAAGTTGTTGATTTCTCAATTTTTACATGTGTACTGCTGTGCTTTTTATTACAGATTGAGAAACCGTCACATTTTGAAGATTATCTTGAGTCTATGATTTCATATTTTTATATTATTTTATATTCAATATATCATATAGGATGTAGACGTAGTAGGTAAGGACTGTCCAATTTGTCCAAAGAATAAATCTATTAATTATGGCAAATTATACAGGGTAAATGAACAAAAAGGTAATCGAACTTCAGCGCGCTCTTATACGTGAATTACTCGGCGTATGAACAACTGGTTTTCATAATCGGAAAGATCAGGTTTTTAGCTATTGAATGACATGCTTTTTATGCCAAGTGGAGAAAAAATAAGCATATAGGAGGCCGATTAAAATGTTAGTCAAAATCGCATATTTTCACCTCTGTGCCTAATTAAAACAATGCATAGCAAAAGAAAAAGCAATTTATCTAGCAACTTATCTTAGCTAAGATTTATTCCTACTTAATATTAATTATGAATATGTGCGTCGTTTATTGAAGTAAAATTCATCAACTTAAGTACCAAAAGGGGTTAATTTTCAATGGTTTTAGACCCAACTCTCAACGGTGAAAATATGCGATTCTGCATGACTAACATTTTTTATCGGATTCGTATTTGCTCATTTTTATCCATTTGGCATGAAGAAGATATCATTCAACAGCTAAAAGCATGATCTTTCCGAATGTGAAAAAATCTCGTTCATACGCAGAGTAATACAGATACAATAGCGCGCTGAACTGCAGTGGTGTAGTCTTGGAATGTTAACAAGGGGGGGGGGCTCTCCAACAGGAGCGGAACTTCGGTATTACGGCTGGGGGTGAGCTTGTTTTGCCCGACCAGACGGGCGTTTCCGAAGTCGTTCCTGAGGGACGAACATTTGATCAGTCTCTAATTAATATTTCTTTTCCCAAAATTGTTGGTGAGCGGAGAATTTTTCACTACCACTTTTTCCTACCACTATTACTTTTCAAATCTGAGACACGCAAAAATTCTCCAAATTTGCCTGACTAAATTGTATGAGTATAGGGTGTCACCCCCTCCTCCCCACCTACACACACACACACCCGGGTAGTTTCGTCCCTGTTCTCTAAAAGTGTCCTGAACTGGCGGGGGGAGGGGGTGTTTACAATATGATATTTTGGAAAGTCTAAATTTTGTTGTTTTTTTTTCTAATAATTGGGACGAGGTTGATAATTGTGGGACAAACATTCAAAATTATGCTTAAGAACAATTGCCGTTAGTAATATAAAATATTCTGAGAGTCTCAAAAGGCTATGCACGTCCAGGTTTCTGTACCACGTTTTGTACATGCAATTCTAAACAACATTCTCTTTTAAGATTAGGCAAAAAT